CCTAATACATGAGCACTTAAAAATCAATAAGAAAGCCATAAAAGAATAAACTGATAAACTGAACTTTAACAAAAACTAAAACATTTGCTCTGTGAAAGGATCTATTAAGAAGATGAGGGGGCACCACCGGTGACTAAGTGTCCGACTCTTAATATCCCTTCAGGTCATGATCTCAAGTTTACAGGATCAAGCCCCACTTGGGGCTCTGTGGTGACAGTGAGGAGACTACTTGGGATTCTCTCTCGCCCTCTCTCTTTGCCCCTCTCCTGCTTTCCTTCTCTCTCTGTCCACATGCAAGTGCACACGTGCACACTCTCTCTCAAAATACATAAGTAAACTTTTTTTTTTTTTTTAAAGGTGAGAGGCACCTAGGTGGCTCAGTCAGCTAAGCATCTGACTCTTGATTTCAGCTCAGGTCATGATCTCACAATTGTGAGACTGAGCCCCACGTTGGGCTTTGTGCTGACAGTGCAGAGCCTGCTTGAGATTCTCTCTCCTGCTCTCTCTGCCCCTCCCCCACTTGCTCACGTGCTCCCCCACAAGATAAATAAATAAACAAACAAAACAAAAAAAGAAGATGAAAAAACAAGCTGCAGACAAGAGAAAAATAGTTGCAAACAACCTACCTGACAGGGAATTTCATCTGGAATTTATAAAGAATTCTCAGATCTCAATAGCAAAAACAAATAAACAACTCAATAAGAATGAACAACTCTAAAAGACATGGGTAAACAGATATTTTACCCAAGATGAGTTATGAATGGTAACTAAGAAAGATGAAAAGATGTTCAGCATTATTAACTGTTAGGGAAATGCAAATTAAAACCACAATGAGGTATCATTATACACCTATCAGAATGTCTAAAATAAAAATTATTGATAACACCAAATACTGGCAAGTATGCAGAGAAACTACATTAGTCATACTTTACTGGTGACATGTAAAATGGTACAGCCACTCTGAAAAATAACTTGGCAGTTTCTTATAAAACTAAATATGCATCTGCTATACTACTACCCAGTAGTCACACTCGTAGAAAATTATCCCAGAGAACTGAAAACTTACATTCACACAAACACTTGTGCATGAATGTTCATATCAACTTCATTCACAACTGTCAAAACTGGAAACAACCCAAATGTCCTTCAGTGGATGGATGGTTACACAAACCTTGGTATATCCATATAATGGAATTCTAGTCAGCAGTAAAAAGGATAAACTATTGATGCAAACAACTTGGATGGACCTCAGGGTCATTATGCTTAGTAAAAATGCCAATCTCAAATGGTTACATACTGTACGTTTGTGCTTGTATACATTCTTAAAATGACGAAACTATAGAGATGGAGAACAGATCAGTGGTTGCTAGGGGACAAGGATGAATGTGGGAACAACTACAAATTGGAAAGTCCTTTTCTATCTTGATTATGGTTGTGGTTACACAAATCTACATATGAGATAAAACCGCATAATACTTTACATGCACAGAGGAATAAAAATGGAATAAAGTCTGTAATCAAGCTAACAATTTTGTGCCAGTATCAGTTTCCTGGTTTTCATATTGCACTACAGCTATATAAAAGGTGATCAATGGGATAAATTGGGTGAGGGGTTCACAGGGCTTTGTGTGCTGTTTTAGCAATTTTGTAGGAGTCTATAATTGTTTTTAAACAAAGATTTTTTTAAGTTATGAGGAAATATGTTATTGCCTAGAATGAAGGACTTCTAAATATGGAAAAATTGCTTTTAACCTTAGTTAGATGGTATATGCAACTGTTTTTGCAATGTTTCATTATTTAATATGTGAAAATAAATTAAAAGAGGAAAAATATCACTATGAAAGTGACACATCAATAGGAAAATAAGCAAAGAACTAGAACAGACCTTTCAGCAAAAGACATACAAAATGGTCAAAAAACATGTGAAAAATGATCAAGCCCATTCCTTATCAAAGAAATACTAGTTAAAATCAGACATCATTTTTGCCTTTCACATTAGCAAAAATGTTAAAGGAATCTGTGTGACTATAGGGAAATAGGGATCTACGTCCTTGGAACATTTTTGGAAGGCAATCTGGAAATATTTACTAAATTTTTAAGAGTTTTTTTTTAACCTAATAAACTTTTTAAAAGTTTATTCATTTACTTAGAGAGAGAGGGAGAGAGAGTATGCACAAGTGGGGGAGGGACAGAGAGGGAGACAGAATCCCAAGCAGGCTCTCCACTGTCAGCACAGAGCCTAACACAGGACTAGAGATCCTACCAGCCGTGAGATCATGACTTGAGCTCAAACCGAAGAGTCTGTATGCTTACCCAACTGAGTCATCCAGACAGCCCTGTGGTCATTTTTTTGTAATGCTACTATTCTTCTCAAGAATTTATCTAACAGGGGTGCCTGGGTGGCTCAGTTGGTTAAGCATCCAACTCTTGATTTCGGCTCAGGTCATGATCTCAGAATTGTGAGATCCAGTGCTGCCTCTGGCTTGGTACTGGGTATGAAGGCAACTTAAAAATCTCCCTCTTCCTCTGCCCCTCTCCCACTCATGTACACCACACAGGCATGCTCTCTCTCTCTCAAAAAAAAAAAAAAAAAAGAATTTACCAAATAGAAACAGAGACTGTTCAAAGATCTATGTACACGGATGATCGTTGTAATGTTTATCACAGAAGATTTTTACAAACATTTACAAACATAAATATCCAACAATAAGGGATTGTTTGAAAGTTAAGATATGGTCATACAATGAAATATAATAGGGCATTCAATTAATGCTATTTACCAATAACCTATTATTTGTTCTAGTTGCTTTATAGATATTAACTCAGATAACTATCACAGCATCCCTATAAGGTCGATACTATCATATCTCCATTTTTCAGGTGGAAAAAAATGAACTATAAACAGTTGAAATATCTCACCCAAGATACTCAGCTAGATGTAAGTAGTCCTGGCTTTACACAGTAATGTAGGATCATACAATGACCATAATCAATAAGAAAATAATTGATATAAAGTTTTTTAATCAAAATATTAAAAATACTCATGCTGTCTATTATAAATGCACAGAAAATAATACAAATAATACTTAATACACTCCAATTTATTTTTTAATTTTTTAATGTTTATTTATATTTGAGAGAGAGAGAGAGAGAGAGAGAGAGACAGCACGAGAGGGGGCGGGGTGGAGAGAAGGAGACAGAATCCACAGCAGGCTCCAGGTTCTAAACTGTCAGCACAGAACCCAACTCTGGGCTCAAACTCAAGAACTGTGAGATCATGACCTGAGTGGAAGTCAGACGCTTAACCGACTGAGCCACCGAGGCATCCGTGTAACATCATTTTTTAAGTTTGGATAACTTTCCAATATTTTATCCTTAATGCTTTCAATATTGTGAAATATTTCTCATGGTTTCTGTGCTGTGAAGTTTTTGTAAGTGTCACTTCTTCTGGGATATCTTCCTCCCTTCCTTCACAAGCACTTTCTTCATTTATGTCAATGCACCCTCACTGAGTTCCTTGGCTGCATATCTAGGGTCTCTCACATAGCCGCAATGTTAACATTCCCCTGGTCAGTCATTCCTTCTAGAAATTCTACTCGAATTTCACTTTCAGCACTATTACTTTTTGTTTCTTTGCTGCCCTTTCATCTTTTTTAGCCAATTCTTTCTTTTTTGTACCCATTTTTCCAAAATGTCACATAGGTTTATCAATGGGAAACATGGAAGCAACATAACTATGTGTTTTATTGGGGTACCTGGGTGGCTCAGTTTGTTAAGCATCCCACTTCAGTTCAGGTCATGATCTCATGGTTCATGAGTTCACGCCATGTGTCAGGCTCTGTGCTGACAGCTCAGAGCCTGGAGCCTGCTTCTCTCTCTATTCCTTTGTGTCTATTCCTCCCCTGCTCATACTCTCTCTTTCTCTCTCTCAAAAATAAATAAATATTAAAAAAATATGTGCTTTATTGTCTGTGTGTGAATCGGTAACAGATGTACAATGACCAATCATCAACAGATTTTGAAAGAAGTGATGTGATTGGTGACTGATCATAATATATATCTATTTTTACATACAGATGTGTGGTTTGAAGAGCTAGCAGCAACATTTTGTTCTTTATGCAATTATTCACATGGTAAGTGAAATATGAATTGTGTTGTTGAGTCTGGTTTTTTTTTAACAAAACCATAGCAACTGAAATTCACGCAAAGAAAGAACTGACTGCAATAGCTTAGCCAGAATTTGAAGACTAGCAGTATGACACCAGAACATTTTCTCTTAACCACTAGGCAATAATACCTCTTAGAAAAGAAATGGTAGGTATATTAAAACTTTGAAATATGTCATTACAGTAGAAAAGAATTGCTAACATATAATATGATCTGATATTTGAAAAAATAAGTTGCAAAAATAGTCATTTGTGTGTGTATTAACATATTTAAAAAATCTGTAGAAATATTTACCAAACTGTTGATAGCAGTAATTATCTCAAGGTTGGGGTGCAGAGTCTGAGAACTTTATCTTTTATATTATATATTCTCTCTACACAGAGCCAGCATGAAATACGAAGACAATGAAAGGGAGAAGGACAAAAGAGGAAGTGATGGAGGAGGAGACTGCTGTCAATATTGGGGACTGCGCAATGCAAGTAAGACCAGGCTTGTGACACTGAGAAATTGCCCTCATAAATCCTCTCGTCTCTCCTCCTCTTTCACTCCGTCTCCTGTCTAATATGCTCAGGTATCTCTCGTCTTCGTTAAAAATTAAAAAATTCCTTTACCCTGTGGATTCCTCGAGTTCCCATTCTTGTTTTTGTTTGTTTCTATTCTTTTCATGGCCCACGTCTCAGATGCATACACTTTTTCTTCCCTATTCCCTCTTGCCCAGCACTTCCCATCATGTCATAACCCCGTTCCCAGAACAATATCAATGTTGAATTGTTCTCTCAAAGGTCAGCAAGGGGAGCAAAACAACCTCCTTCCCACTGCCACCCCAACCAAACCTGGTGCAGACATGGCCCGAGCAACCTTCGGGAACACGGAGCTAAGTACGCTGCGCTCTGCGAGCTGTTCTGGTGAGACCAACCCTCCAGGCAGAGGCCACCAGTCACCGGGGAACAAGCAAGTCCCCGTCTCTACACCGGAAACAGGAACTCTGAAGGGGACAGAGAGGCGGCAGCGGTTGCACAAACTGAGGAGTCGGGTCTGCGCAGAGGACTTCGGCGTTGCTGCAGGACCCGGATGCTGTAAACGGCTGGTGTGCGTGCAGGAGCAACATGGCCCACTGCAGGCTAAAAAGGGGGATACCCCCCGCTTCTGTCCTCCACCACAGTCATTGCAGGATGGGATGGGATTTTATAAAGAAGTCAGCAATGTTTCCTTAGAAAATGACGCCTTATTACCAACAGTGGACTATTCTTACCCTCTTTCCCAACATACATTATTAACCACGAGGTAATCACAATACCTGTGTAATGCCCCAGAATTTACACAGGTGAGAACCTGACTCACCTTCCCCTCTGATGGAAGGAATAAAGGAAAAACCTGGTATCCGAAAACCCCTTTGCTCTGGCTTCACGTGCTTTTCTGCCTCATCCAAAGCAGCCCAGAGTGGCAGCCTCATGGGGCTGTGGCCAGCAGAAAGGGAGAGAGAAAGTCCTAGTAGCTGCAGCCACGGATTCTCCCTTCTTCCACACCAGTCGTCTGTCCTTTGATCAGGGGTGGGCGTGAGGCCCTCCTGGCTGTGCAGGACGGAAAAGGATGGATCCAGAGAAGGGGCTTAGATCTCAGCAAAGGCAATTTACCACAGAGCCAAGGATTCAGGCCGTGATCTTGGGGAGGCCAGGTACCCCAAACCTAACCCAAAGTCCTGTGGTGCCTGGTCCCAAAGCAATAAATCCCATGCTGCTCTGCGGACCCCCTTCCTTCTCAGTGGACATAGAGCACATTCCAGAACCAGGAGCGGTGTCACAGCCAAATATATTTGGACTCTGTGGGGATGGGGGAACAACTCTGGAAGAGAATTAAATGTCACTAGGACCCTGGGATGGTAGTGAGAGAAGAGCTTCATGGGAATGGGATTTTCCCCTCATCTCTTTACATACCTGGCTCCTTCCTCTCAGGCCTCAGCTCATAAGTCACCTCCTCACTGAGGCCTCCAAGCGCACCCAGACAAGGCCCACTCTCCTCTAACTCCTCAATAGTCCTGGTTATTACCTTCTTTAGGTTCTGACAATAATAAGAATAAAATTTCTTTCACTTTTTTATTGCCCTCTCTCCCAAGTCATAAGTTCCACAAGAAGGGATCATGTCTTCCCTTTTCCCTGTCTTAGTGTGGTTTACCCTCAAAATTGAAAAATATTTAGTGATGGGGAGGTAAGCCCAGGCAACACTGGAAGGGAGGGAACAGGGAAGAGAGACAGGGAAGGGAGGAAAACCAATAAAGAAAGCCTCAATGAGCAGTTCAACACTGGGAGGCAAAATGGGCCTCAGTCCTCCAACTGTAAGGAGACTGGGGCATTTACCAAACATCTGCTGGGACCCACTGGTGAAGGAGCCTGTCAGAGATGTTGTCACATCTCTGAGCACATGCACAGGCCTGGCAAACACACTTAGCAGAGAAACTTAAGAAGCCATCAGCCTCTGTAGGAACTTGTGTGCCAGCAGCCTCCAGAGAACACTGGGCAGACACAGGCCAGGCAACAACAGTGTAGACTAGGCCTGTTCCCAGATAGCCTCAGTTCCCAGATCAGGCTCTGGCACCTGGTGTGTGTTCCATAAATTACAGCTGAATAAACAGAAGATTGATACATGAATGACTAAAAATGAGGATGAATGGGATTCCAGTAATGATAATGTCAGGACTGTTTTCTTTTTTTTTTTTTTT